TGAAGTTTTGTAAGGCTGATGATCACAGGTATCATCCTTGAATCAATCCCTTTATTTTTATTTATTTTATTTTTTTTTTTTGGCTGTTTAGCAACCAATAGTGTTACCTTTTGGGGACAATTTGTCAGTGAGTTAATAACCTGCCAGTGGTTTCGAATTTATTTATAAATGAATTGTGTGTGATGGCTGCTTTCCTCGTCGTTTATCTGTGTAGTATACCCGGCCAGATATCTAGTATGTCTCACGAAGTGAAGGAAAGCCAGTGATAAGTTCTCGTAAGGAATTCAGTTTACCTCGCAACTATCGAAATGTCGGCTCTTTTATTTTTACATTTACATTTACGAAAACGTAAGTATAAGATGTATCTGGTAATTGAGACGAAAGAAGCAAATCAGTAAAAGTAAAAAGATGTTAAACTATACACTTATTAATTTTGTATCATTATTGCTTATCATGTAAAATTTTGACGAGAATTTATATGTGAACACACACTTAAACGAATTTTTATTGTAAGACCATTAAATGATCCTCTATGATAGAAGAAGGATAAACAATTGTTTATACATATTTTTTCTATATGTGTTTATTGTTCCACGTTTTAAAAAGAAAAAGGACCATCACAGGAAAGTCTAGTCTCTAGAAGGGTTTGAATTCTGAATGCACATACTTCAATGAGCTTTTTTAAAACCAACACTGAAACCCGGGTAGTTATGACCGCGCAGTTGCAAATTCCATAAAAGATATAGATGTAAATGTAATTAAAACATTGCCTTACATCATATATCTAGTAAATAATAATAAATAGATAATGTTGCGTGGTAACCTGCCGGCATATCCATTGCATGTTTCATGCCGGCACATAAACTTAGACAGTTCCGTGTACCGTCCGTGTGTAAATATTCACCGGGGAAAGAAGCAATATCGCAAATAAGGAAAATATGCAAGAGGCCTTTCCCGGCTGGATGCCAATTTTTTGCCCGGCTACACTTTAAAGAGAAGTAAATTCAACCCTGTTAGTTCAACTAGATCAAAAGAAGACCTTCTTATGACAGCATATTAATGCTCAATTTACTTGTGTCAGTAAATAGATGGAATTAGTTTTGTATAGTATCCATTAATCCTGCTACCGTTTTAAAAGATTTCGTATATGTATGTATGAGTTACAATATATTCTTAAATTTATTCTAAATTACCTCCTTTTTTTCCAAGATTATCTTGATTTCATTGAATTTGATAGGCATATTTTTATGCGTTTCTCTTGTGCTTTCGTACAAAAGTACAGGCCGCTTTAACAATGTAGTTTGTCGTAATAATCAAATTGTCCTGTGTTTTAATATAGTAGTTACGAAATGATTATTTGGAGATCGTGGAGGTCTGGTGTGACGTAGGTTTCAGAAAAACATTTTCTTTATCGTGCCAACGTTTCGATCTTTATTGAGATCATCTTCAGGGCATGGGATTGATAAACATTGTTTAAATTTTGCAAATACATGTAGGATGTGAAAAAAACGAATTTATACAATGCTAGAAATTTTAGATTCAATCGAAATATTTGTACTCACTCAAATTGTTTGTATTCTTTGTAGGTGTGTCGTTGTGTGTCGTGTTGCGAGTGCCAGTGAGATATTGCTGTTTTATACGTTGGATTTTGAAGGGGTGGGGAAGGAAGTTGGGATAGAAAGACATTTTTATATGAGGAGTCGGCTTCTTTGAGGTGAAAGGAGCCGACAATGGGGAAAAATTGGTAATGGTTCGGCCTGATTATTCTTTCAGGATTACATAGACGGGGATAATTAGGGAAAGGAAAGCAAAATTGTTGAAGAATTAGACTATGTAGATATGTTTGATGTGTGGAATGTGATGATTGTTTTATATGTTATATTATATGTTTTGTGTCATGTGATGGTGATATATGTATGTCATATATTGATATGGAAGATGGCCCTGAAGATGATCTCAATAAAGATCGGAACGTTGGAACGATAAAGAAAATGTTTTTCTAAAACCTGCGTCACACCAGACCGCATCTCACGATCTCCAAATAATCATTAACTACCGGTCACTAAACACCACACGTTTCTACATAGTTATAAATGTTGAACCACATAGACAGCCTTCAACAACAAAAAAAAATACGTTGAAATAGCCCGTTTATAATAATAATATCAAAACACAAACCATTTTCACTATTTCCACAAGCTTCTAGGTTGTTTAAGTGCGCTTTTTTGTGCCTTTATCTAATTTATAAGATGAAAGGAAAATACACAGACCGTATCAACAGATTTTACAAACTTAATTGTGAAGTGTTCTGTATGTTTTTATTTGTTAAATAAAATAGACTATTTCAGCAACACACGTTTGTTGAATTGGCCTTTGTGTTTGACCTGTTTTTGTAAGAAGAATAGAAGCACAGTCTACATCAAATAATTTAGCAAATTCAAATGATATGGAAGCGACCTATGGGTTTTAGTGTTTTTAACGACTTAGCAAAAAAAATTAGAAAACAGATTGACCTTTTGATTGAATTATTGTATCAAAATGTGTGGTTTTTAGTGACCGTTAGTTAATGATTATATGGAGATAGTGAGATGCGGTCTGATGTGACGTAGGTTTTCGAAAAACATTTTCTTAATTGTGCCAACGTTTCGATCTTTATTGAGATCATCTTCAGGGCCTGGAATTTATAAACATTGTTTAAATTTTACAAATGCATGTAGGATGTAAAAAAAATGAATGTATACAATGCAAGAAATTTTAGATTCAGTCAAAGTATTTGTACTCATTGAAGTTTTTGTTTTCCGTGTAGATGTGTCATTTTGTGTCACGACACAGAAGAAAACAGACTTTGATGGAATCTAAAATTTCTTGCATTGTGTAAATTCTTTTTTATCTTTTTCTTTTTCACATCTATATGCATTTGTAAAATTTAAACAATGTTTATAAATCCCATGCCCTGAAGATAATCTCAATAAAGATCGAAACGTTTGTACGACAAAGAAAATGTTTTTCTAGAACCTACGTCACACTAGACCGCATCTCACTCTCTCCATATAATCATTGTATCAAAAAGCAATAAACTGCTACACAGCGTGTAACCAATGTTTAATATTCTGCAAGATGTGGCAAATCCAGTATTTTTCTTTTCTATCCGTAGCAGTTGTACTGGTCAGGTTTTAATGTTTGGAATAATCGTCTGCGATTATGCCAACTATTGTGCTTAGAATGGGGAGAAGAATGTGACCACAAAACGTCAACAGATTTATAATGTAACAAAGGCAACGCAATAGGCCCTTTTGGTTGTTTGTCCCCCTTCTTTTCTTAAACATACGAGAACACTCTATGAATTATCCGCCCTTTTGTTAGTCGAATTCTCCCTTCACGCAAAAAAAATTTATATACTTACGAAGTTATCAAGAAAGAGGGGACTTTTTTCTCCCCTTTTCACCTTCTTTGCCTACCGGTCTCGAAAAGACGTGGAGATAAACACAAAGGAGGCCAACGCGTGACAAATGAGTACCACCGGTCTTCTTCACGAGTGAGACAAATGGTCTCGAGACCCCCTTCCGGGGCATCTATCCCTTCACGGACGAACAAACAGTTACGGGTTATGAATCAAACACCACTTAACTTAATCGCCACGGTTATTGCACTCGAGTACATCCACTCAGATGGAACCATTCCCTTGGATATTTTTGAGAAGGGGTGAATCGAGAGATTATCTTGAGCTCGACCAACTAACTGTCTATTTGGTAAAGTACTTTGCTTTGAGAACAGCCATTATACAAGTTATCCGACCAGTTAAACTTCACGGGATGATATTATACCTCATTTACAGTATCCAATCTCATTACTAGTATTTTACATTTAGTACTCTATTCTTAAACTGTTCTAAAAAAGATCTTGCGTGATCCTCGTTAATTTTCATTTAATTACAAATTAAACAAAGATTTATTTACATTTTTTGTACATATTTTGCTTTAAAATTTTCCAGCTCGTTATTGGACATAAAAATTCAATTTTAGCATTATTTCAATGATCTTGCGTAATCATTTAAATTAGTTTTTCAAACCCCTAAAGGTGTATAATTTAATTATAGCAGTGATTAATTTTAATTTTATTATAAGCGCATTTCATGTAAAATGATAAAGACAAAAATTTTAATAGGTGTAAAAATCGTCGAATTAACCAACTGGTCTGGGAAGGCCTTGGGGGCTTTGTGGGAGGGCCTTGCTAATTTATGCTAATTTGAGGGTGTACGGTTATTCAATCATTCACTTCAGAACTCCCGGGATAGTGGCGAAATGTAGCCTTAAATTTTTCCCTAATTAGACATGGTCCTGTGGAAAAAAATTATGGCAAGTTACATCCTCTGGAAAGTGAAAATCCCGGGATGTAAATCTGATAAAAACTCATGTATAATGTTACAGAACATTTGTTACATGAATTAACAGTTGCAAAATTTGAAAAATAAATTCAAAAAACGCTATCAGAAAACGCTGAACGGACGAAAACGATTATTTTTGATAATGGTACTAAGATGCCTGATGAGCATGAAGGTGTTTCAAAAGAATAACGTGATGTGTTTAAATCTTAAAATATGTAATATGTAATTCAAAAATGTCAGTAGAAATCCAACAATGTAAATGAAATCTTTAGTTTGGCCGATTTGATCGGTAACGACCAAACTAATGTTCACCACCCCGCAGACTCAAAGAGAAAAATGGTAATGTACAAATGTTCTATTGAAAAAGAACTTCAGACTATCTTTGTGACGGCATTATATTAAGAGAAAGTTAAAATTAAAAAAATGCCTTGTTGTACAACATATTTGTTATATCAACAGTTACTTTCTTCAATTAATAGCCTGAAAAGACTCAATTTAACTTTCACTGAGGTTACGGCAACCCAAATCATCGTACCAACAAAGAAAACAGGCTTTTTAACCCTTTAGATTGTTGTATATTTTTTTATTTATCACTGATTAAGGTTTTTGGTTTCAGATATGTCAACTATTTCTCCGGGCTGCTGTCAGGTTGTATTCGGATAAATTCAGCGCCGTTGTACCTGACTCATGTCACAGTATTGGGAGCGCCATCATTCGAACCCGGTACCTGTGGATGCAGGGCTTTCATTAAAGTCTACGAAGGCCTCATACCTGTGTACACGTCCGGGGTACACACGGTATCACCGGAAACTAGGCAGTTCACAGTTACTGTAAGCGGCGGTGCGGACCGCAGAGGGTTGCAACTTAGAGGTGACATCCTTCTAAAATGCTACCATAGGTAAGTTTGATTTTTTTTAAATTATGAAATCTATATATCTCATGGCAATACAAGCGTTTTGGCTAGGTAGACTTTGTCTATAATGTTGGTGGTCGCACCATGATTTACGACATATATTTTTTGGAAAATGCGACCCAATAATAGTGTGTCAATTTCGTAATATTTTTAATAAATAGTTCATACATTCAGACAAATTGGAAAGGTCTTTAACAGCTTACGCATCTGCCGTGTGATCAACAAATTATTTAAATTTACAAAAAGTTAATAGTTATTGGTAGCAAGGTTATATAACAAAAGAACGTAATTAACTTGGTCTTTGATTTGAATTTTTAAGAGAATAGCAAACGTTTTGGGGGCGAACAATTGTTTTTTCCTTTGTATATGTTCATTTCTACTCAAATTATTTCAATTGTTATACATATTTCATTCCAGAAGAGTCTGTACTTTCTGGTTAAGGATCAAATATTAAAATTTTATCGCATTTTGTTTTATTTATTTCATTCTATATTATTTATATTTTATTTTAGCAATTTTTCAATGTCATTTAGTTGTTCAAAGGGATTCTTAAGTGGGCAAATTTTCGGTACAATTTTTTCAAAATCTATGTGCCCTATTATAACCATTTTTTGTACAATATACTACAAATTCGTAGCTCGGATTTTTTTATGCAAAAAATTTTTTTTCGACTAAAATTTAAAAAATCTTTTCAATATAATGCCAGGTTTTGGAGAAAAGTGTACGGAAAGTTGCGAAAATTTAACTTTTCAGGAAAAGCTATTTTCTAATCGTTGTTACCCAATTTACTTCATAAATACATAACAAAACAATTCCTCTTGCATTAGGATGATGTTTTAGTTGGGCAGAAAATAATACAAAATAATTCTTCAAACAACACAAGGTATGGCGAATACGTATTTAAGGCAAGATACACCAGAACACGTGATTCGCAATATTCAAAAAATTATTTGTACCACTTCCAAAGTTTGAAATTATTCTGAAGTTTCATGCAGAGCACACATAAAACGCATTTTTGATCCAAAAAACTATCGACCCTTAAAACTTACTGTAAACTAGGGTTAGTAGGTTAACTATTCATTTCTCCGCCTATACACTTCCAATAATATTTTTTTTACAAGTGTATCGCTTCAATGGAAAACGTCAAGGTGAACAAGTATGAGTTTGTATTTGTATATTTTCTATTACAATTTAATTCTGATAAAGATTATGATTAAAGGTCAAATCATATTTCTAAACGCGTTGTTTTTCGTCCTAATTTTAGGAGAATTGGCATTGAAGACAAATAAAATGGCAATGCGCCAAAATAGTTTACGATTATCACACAGAAACGAATTTAAAATATATAAAAATGTGAATTTTAGTCTTGAGAAAAAATAAAGGATAATGTTAAATCTTAAAAAGCTGTTAAACTCCGAGTATCCCTTTGTTCAGGCAGTTCGTGAGCATTTGTACTCATCCGGATCACATTACCTTGGAAACGTTGTAACATTAGTCGCTTTTGAAAAAATAACTCCATTTATTTTCCTTAAGTTAAGAAACTTACACCAAGAACAAGAAAGTCGTTTATCACGAACCAAGCATTTTTCTTTAATGGGTGCAGCTATCTTCATTCCTATACGTTTTCAACATCTTTCCTAGATTGGACCTCGAGTTGTATATTTTTAACCTACGATTATGTCATACTTTATATATCTGTCAAAAAATTCAGATTTTTTTGACACAGTCATTAATTTTAAGTTATCCGTACTTTACGGTGCAAAAAATACATATTTGGATTAATTATCCGGCTCGTTTTTTTTTATATTTATAAAAATATAGTTATATTAACACTGCAAAACCATATGATTTCTTTTTTTTTTAAGATTTCAAAAAGTATAGAACACCGGATAACAACTTGCCATTTAAGTTTGGCCCACCGTCAAACCTTACGTTGATTGTTCCCAGTTCAATGTTTTTCGCCTTTTTCCAGACCAGCTGTTTTGAAAATGTTTTAAAGGTGTACAAACAGAACAATTAGGTTTTAATAAGATTTTTAATCTAAATGAACAGAGAAGCGTTGAAAATCATTGGAGTCAGTGCTTTCGCTGTAGGAGCGATGCTTCTCATCGGTGGAGCTATGACTTATATGGACATGCGAAGAGTAGAGCGCTTAAAACAGAAGCAAAAGGCAAATCAGGCAAATATCCATGAGAATTAAATGCTTAGGTGAGTAAGAGTGGAATTCAAAAGCAACATAAATTTTATGTCTTTAATTATCAAAATGAAGGTAGATAAAAAAAATTAAACTGCCTGAGTCTTGGAGTTTGATTTTCCCTTACGTAAAATTGTCTGTCATTTATTGCATTTTGTTAAAAAAATTTGAATTAAAATTGCCAAAAATGGCTTGAAGTTTAAACAAGAAATTTTATGATATAAGGGAAGTCGATGGATTCCGCTCTTAACCATATTGATGTATTATTGAATGTAGGCGGACTGCGACATATTTTCTGAATATCTGAATTTCAAAATCTTCTGAAAATAGTTTTCTGCCAATAAACAATTCCAAAGTTTTATTTTAGCGCAATGAGGAGTTTATCTATTATTTATTTTATGTTTTCAGCTATACTTGGAAGAGATTGTACAACTCAATAACTAACTTTGTCTGTTCTGTTTAATTCATTTTTCAGGCATTACTGCAACGATGAAAACAGCACGAGATGCAGTTCGCCTTTAGACAGTAGCGTCGCAAGTGGAGAACCACCAATTCAAAGGGAGTTGATATTCTCTTGTCAATTTCATACCTGTGCGGTCACCGACCATACTCTGAGTTTTACGAGGCAGGAACTCGACGGAGCTTGCAACGGTGAGATTTATTTTTATTAGAATCAGCTCCACTGGCGGATCTTTTGGGTTGTTTCTCATTTACGACCTCTTAAATTTTCAACAAGACACGTGCCCTTACTGTACCCTGAAGACGAGTCCAGACATTGGAAAATCCCCTTTCCAGTTTTTTCAATTATGCGGGTGAAGAAAACTATGAAATTATAAAGCAATTTTGATAGTTTTCAACATAAAATCCAGTCCTAAAAAATTCAAGTCAATGAACGAAGCTTTGTCATTTTAACTTTTACAAAATATCCCTTGTCAAAAAATTAATTGACCACGTTTTACAAATATATCTATGTCCTTATTCTATTCAAATCAGGGATCCGTATCAACGATAGGTGCCCGAGTGAGGTTGCCTATCGTTGCACCGATCCCATGAATAATTCAGTATATCAAAGAGAATAACAGAACAGGCGTGATCACGTGTAACAAGAGGCTGACAGGTCGCCATTACCTTTTTATTCCCTACCATTACATTATTTATCCGTTTTATTTAATACATACTCGAGACGGTCACGTCACTTTCTTGAGAGGTAGTCTTCACTGAGGCTTTCACGGTCGTGATTTGCGTAACGTTCAACTTTAAATTACCACGTTTTGTTTGCTTTCGGGATTATATCGCTAGTAATTAAGGTTGTACATCTTAATTTCTATGTTATTTATATACGTAATTCCAGTCTATTTAGTTTTAACAGTCTAATCGTTTTAGGTATTTAATGCTTAAAAGCTGGTTCGTGAAAAAGCCAATGTAATCATTTCAAGACGGAGTTCCAAAATGAAAAAAGCCTATATCTCTACAAGAACCATTTATGATATACTCGAGATAAATAAATTATGTTTCAAAATAAAATGCCTTATCAATACAGTAGTATAAATAAATTCTGTGTAGATTTACAATACAAAAATAACATAATAAATAATGATTATTTATAATAAATTAAATTAAAGAAAATACTTTTTTTTAAGTGTGAAAGACATATGGAATAATTAAAGAATATAAAACAATGCATGAGACGATTTAATGATTAAATTGAAATTACAAAATTAGTATTGAATTCCCCTATCAGAAAATTTCTATATTCGGAACTATTAATGAGAAAATTACATAAAGCCAACCAGTTTTCCCAATTTATATTTCTCCCACACATTCATTGAAAGGCTCCTTTTCCGATATCTTCTGAATTCTAACAATAAAAGGCATGTTGCCATAAATTAAATAATTTTTTTTTTATTATATAAGGAACCCAATTTTTTCCCTTCTGTACGGCAAAATTTACCGTTTAAATTTCTGCATTTGAAAAGTAACCTCTTATAAAATATACTTCATCTATCATCTTTTAAATGTAGGCTGCTATTTGCACTAAATTTAAGTCCTCTAAAACTGTAGGTAGTGGGTTTTTGCTTTGTTTTTAAAAGTTTCTTTTTGGATTGTAGCCTGACTAGAATAGCCTTTTCTTTGAAGCTCAAGGTGTTGAAAATTGTCTCTGATATGCCAAATCCATTTGACTTGTTTCTTAACTCGTTACACCAAAGAATTTTTTTTCTGATAGTTTCAATCAGTAATATTTTCAGATAGCGTTCTTTGGGCATATCGTTTATATCCCTCAATTAATTTAGATGGCATTTTGGTAGATAAATAAAAAAGGTATTGCGTCCTGTTTCAAAGTGTAGGAAATAGTTGGGGACGGAATTAGGATATAGAAAAGTTTTCGAATTAAAAACCTGTGGGTTCGCTAAATTTCCTCATACTCTTTACCTCTCCACAATTACAACCATACCAATGAATACTCCCGACAACTACTATAATATNTATATAGGTATTTCGTCAGCAATAGAACAACTTGCTTTGCTAAAAGATTTTTCCAAGGGGAGTTTATACCAGTCTTAGTTTTTTTCTGTAAAGTCTTCATTTAGGGACAAGTTTAAGCCCCAGATATTTATTTATACGTATTGACACTTTATATCTGATCGCCGGAAAAAAAAATTTTTTTTATTGATAATGAGATCCCATCTTTTGCAATATTCACTCAGCCGATTGATTATGGCGACACCACCAAATCATCCGCATTGTAAAAAACATTTAATTTGTACACCTCTCACCAGATACCGCTTCAAAGATTATAAATAATGCCATTAATGAAAAGGCTGAATAGTAGTGGACTAAGCATACATCCCTGCCCCACCCCGAGCCCACATGTAAATTATCAGAGCGAGAACTGTTAGTCCATACAACTTGTAAATATTTTTAATTGCTGCTATAAAAGCTGTCGATATTCCAGTTAAACTTTATAGAAATATGTGGTATTGAGTGACCGATCTCCAAATAATCGTTAATTTATAGAACAAAAGTTCCCTATCTACATCGTCAAACGCCCCTTTTAAGTCTACAAAAAAAGGAGTACAACTTGCCGCGTTTTCGGCTCATTTGTAACTTTGCTAACGACGCAAACGGTTAAATATGCTGTCGTAAGTTGAGTATCCCTTCCTGAAATCAGCATGAGCCTCTATTAGTATGTTATTTTTTACTACCCATTCCGTCAACTGTTTCTTTGAAATGCTGGCATAAATTTTTCCTTCGTATTAATAAATGCTATGGGTCTATAATTACCAGAGGTATCAGGGTCATCTTTCTTGAATAAAGGTCGACTCCGAGAAATTATCAGTGATGTACCCTTATGAAATTTTTGTTATGTGCACAATACAAAATAACTACTGAATTATTTCTTACAGTCTTACAAACGGGTGTATCAGTCGTAAATAAACAATTAAAGCACTCATCTACCTGGCGCCATAATTATAATTACCAATAATCCGCGTGGGTTACAAAATAATATATCTAAACTAGAGGAATACTGCGAGACATGGAGTCTCGGGTGAACCTGCAGAACTCGAAGGTAGCTGTTTTAAGCAAATGAGATTAAATAGGATACGTTTCCGTTAAGTAAATAAATTGCAGGTAATACTAAAAAAATTTGCGACTATTTCTTTAAATAAAATCAATCTGGGTGTTGCTCATTAAAGCGCGATTTCTCCTGATGCAAATTTCTGCCAGCAAATACAAACTTAAAGAAATTAATGTTTGGAAAACAAAACGTTAATAAAAATGTATTTATTGAATTTTGAGGCTTTTGAATCCTAAAAAGATTGAAATATTTCAATACCTAGTGTACACTTATCTTAAAAACCATCACACTAAAGTTAATACGTTTTTCGACACACTGTGCAAACATTTTGTACATTACAAGAAAAATTGGAGATGATTCTGCTGCTAGGAAAAGTCGTCCAAAATTTGCACCAGGCTGAATCGCTCTTAATTGAGCTATTGCTTCCAATTTATTCTTTCAATCGACGTTATTTGAGGAAATTGTGACGAAATTCTTTTTTTTTACGGTACCAGTTCGTTTAAGTCGTTATATATTTATTTGTAAAAGAATATATTTTTATTATTAGTATTACTCAAAAAGTGAAAAACAGAAAATAAGAGGACAAAAGGGCATAAGCTTAGGGCTTATTGAGTCGAAAAGTTAGGTTGTCATTTGTTCCACTCTCTCTTTCCAGCCGCTTTGATCGGCTAAAGAGAAAACCCAAAGAGGAATAAAATAAATAAATACTGAATATTGATCCACGCTCAACTCTTCTCTCTATGTCACAATCGCCCGAATCCTAGGATAAAAGTAGTGTCGAATACCACTCAAAATTTCCTTTGTATTTTCTCAAATCTATATTTTTCCAAAGAGAGCGCAGGTGGTAAGGATTGTGTACTTTGTAAAATGACGGTGCCAATCGTATTTTGCCTCACTTCTAACCCCATTAGGATGATTTTAATGGTCCGATGTGAAAGAATGGGTGTAATAATTGGCCCAGTTATTCATTTGGAAAGTTTCCAGATCAGTATCGCTTTTAGAGTTCTCGGTAGTAGTATAGTACCACAAGTGTTTTGTTTCTAAAAATGTAGGATGTTGATGTAGTGACATGAACATTCAATATTTTAAAGGTCTTTACTTACATTTCTTGGCTGACTCGCTATCCAGTAAAAACCAAAAACAACTGCGTATCTCATTTTGGTTTATCAGCAACATTCATGTTTTTATTCAATTGTATTGAACAAAGATAGACATATTTAAACAGCAACAACGACATCCTTCAATTATTTAACACTACGTATTTTACCTTAATTATACATCAAGAAATTATAAGAAACTATTTTATGATATTTTACAACTTTCCCTCGGTTTTTATTTGAATAGTTAATTGACAACTGGGACGTAATATCCTTTTACGTTTTTGCCTAGAAAGTTGTTTATAAGCCAAAACCATTAATTTGGCACATATTGTTCCCGCATATGCTCACAGCATTTATTTTCAAAGCGCCAAGGTGCAAATATCGATGATGTTTAAACACTGGACTAAATACGACAAATAAGACTTTCTAGAGCGAACGTCATTGTCAAAATTAACTTTGTACTTTTACTACTTATAGAAATAATTAAATTATTAATTACACCACCTTACTTAGCACGTTCCCTACATTAAGCACTATACCAAATCAGCATATCTCTCAAATAAGTTATTTTAATGTATGTGCATGAACACCTATGTGGGAATATGTGTAATGTCGCCCACTTTGCTGAGGACGTGGTAGCCCCTGCTAATTACTCCTGCTGTACAGATCCCAGAATAATCTGCAATACTTTATCGATAAGGTCGATGGGTATTAACTTGGAGACTAAAGTTATCCAACTATATCTCGCCTAGTTCGATACACTACCGTACAAAACTACCTGATGATTGCCCGATCAGAATAAATTATACCTCTTTCTGAGGAAACGACATAGATTCTGCTGTTTAAAAGATTCAGACCCATCCTTCTCAAACATCTTATAAGCCGGGTGATACCCTTGAACATATAGAAACAATTGTACCTAAGACTCAAACGTCTAGTTTAGCACACCTGTCAGTGCGATGGTCATCTGCGGCTAACCCCCAAATCAAAAAAGTACACTCAGTGCAAAATAGATCCTGCGGCTTAGGACTCTATTGTACATCAGAACTCTAGTCTCTAGTCTCTAGTCTGCAGTCACCGAGGTCAGAAGACACAAATCTCCTCCAACCGACATCACCAACGAATGAGTAACGAAACCAATAAATACACATAAAATACAAATATGAAAATCCATTAGCGCCTAGAAACGAGAGAAGATTAAAAAGAAAGAACTTACGACCTGGCAAACAGCTGATTCTCTTTTCTACTTCCCTACTCCAATATTATTTATTGTTATCAAAAATTATGTAATTATTAATATTAATTATTATCTAATATAGTTTGAAAGTTAATTCATAAAACTATTTACTTAGTCATTTATTTTTGTGGATTGTTATTCCGAGTCATCAGTTTTAACAGTAGATTTTCTACAGACATCAAAACAATTTCCCTAAATAGCATACAGAATACTTGTATTCGCATAGCTACCGGTGCCTTTCGATCCAGTCCAGGTGATAGCTTAAGCGTAGAAGCAGGAGAACCCCCTCTCAAACATCGGCGCACATTCCTGGATCTAAAGTTCTTTGCAAAAATCATATCTAATAAATCGCACCCACTCAGAGATCTATTTCCCTTGGATAATATATTATCAAATGAAGTTCTCCTTACTCAGAAGCGAAAACACTATTCTGTGCGAGTATCACTAGCTCTGCAATCTTTGGGCATACAGGTCCCAAAAATACAACTTTCATCTCGCCACTCCCTCCCTGGACGTTACAAACCCAAACTTTTGTCTCAAACTCTCGAAATTCTTGAAGGTGAACACCCATCCTTACACTTATAAGCAAGAGTTCCTTAAAATCAAAAACCATTTCAAAAATGCAACCTTCGCTTACACGGATGGATCCAAGAGCACAGAAGGAGTTGGTGCCGGATTCGTGTCAGGCAGGCGGTAGGAAACATTCTTTCGCACTCTCACCCACTATGTAGTGTAGAACTTCTATAGTGTAGAACTCCTAGCGATCAACAAAAATGTCTAAATATAACAGCTTTGACAAGAAATTGTACCGATTCTCTTTCGGCAGTATATGCTTTAAAAGATATTTTCAGCCTGAACCCCCTCGTACATGAAATTCATTCTGCCATAAAGGACTTTTACAGCAAAAATTTACAAGTCACTGTCATGTAGATACCAGGACACTGCGGGATAACCGGAAATGTTGAGGCAGACAAAGCGGCAAGACGTGCCCAGAGAGAAGGTCATAAAATAAGTGAGGTGCCGCAATAGGACTTCGTTACGCATGTGAAGGTCAAAACAAAAGAAAAATGGCAACTAGAATGGTTCAATATTAGAGAAAACAAACTAAGAGCCGTTAAAGCAGACATAGGACTATGAACCACCTCAGCTATACTGTCTAGAAAAGAAGAATGTGTACTTGCGAGACTCAGGATAGGGCATACACGAATTACACAGGGGTATTTATACCCAGACCTGGGGGCGGTGTGGATGTAACACAGCCCATGCACATCGTCAATAGCAGGTACTGCAGGAAGGATACAGTAAAAGTATAAATGTTGAATATCTAATCCTAGAGAATGCTGCCCGTATGCCGCCTGTATTACTACTGTAAAAAACAGTAGATTTTCGCACTTTAACCTCATTCAGAATTATGGTATATAGTACATAAGTATAAATGCTATAAAGATCTTTCGTTTGTCTTCTTTCTTAAAGTTTATATTGTTTATCTTCGTAATGGATAAATATTTCTTGTGAGATTCCTCTTGGGAAATGCCAAGAGACGATCCTACAATATGATCGCTCCCCATCAATTTCGTCAGCCTTCAGAAGACCGAATTGAAGATTACATTTCAAAACATTCTTCATTCATATAATATTAATAACTTTAAACATTATTTCATTCTATTGTCTCTTTTTCAGATCTGAGGTTTCCTCTAGACGGTGCTGTGGAGCTTCACTTTTCCGGCAGGTCGGAAACACCGAGGATCACACCCGCACCGACCCCAGCCGTCCCGGTAGATAACAGCCAGGACCCTGTTACCAGGTGGGATTCTTACGAACACCTAGATCATCCACCTCCTCTCAGCCCTGATTCGGACATCACGGAAGAAGCTAATGGTAAATACAACAGCCACCAAATAGGTTAGTCAGCCTTTTATTTCATTTTTACACCAGTAATTCTATTATCGTTTACTGCACTAAGCTGACAGGTTTTGCTGACAAAATACTTCTAAAGACAAAAGGATCTAAAAGAAATCAATTAGAGATTCAGTTCAAGTAATCTAACCTTAATCATTCTTAAGATATTTCTAAGTATTTGTTATTTTTATACAAATTTTGGAAAACCACCCTATCCACTGCGACCTTGCCGATCTTATAGCGGATTGAGCCATACCATGAAAAAGACTCTCGGTTAAGAATTTTAACACCACACAGTATTTGCTAATTTCTTTAGACGTATCGAGTCCTTCTTTAGCATGTGATAAATCTTTTTTTTTCTTCTAGTACTTAGGTCATTACGATCTTTTACTCTGCCTATCCTCTTAGTTTGGTGTGTCGTACTCGTTTCGGCAGTTTGTCATCTTCAACGCTTACTCAAACACCAATGGCGAAATCTCATAATTTGGTATTTTTTGTTCATATAGTTTAATAAGTAAATAAGTAAATCTCTGTTCTTATACCCGTTTATTCTACATCCAGACCAATTTAAAGCTAAAGGTACACCATGCCAATGTTTCGTAGCGAGATGTCTATTTTCACCTTCAAAAATGTAGTATGCTGGCTATGTGCTCCATAACCTTAAACCCAAAACGCATTTACAATTGTTTTCCATGTTCATCGTTTTTCTTCATTGTTGGTAAAGCCCAGATGATGGCACTATAAGGTGCCGAAAGCTCGGAGAACGCAGAAATTAATCTTCTTTTTTCACCTGTCTAATGTCCTCCACGAAGATTGGAATCCTACTTACATTTCATTTACACCATTCAAACCTATACCAATCAAAAAGAAAAAGGACCCACTGGAAAAAAAAACTACATATAATCCACCTGTTAGGGCCACTGGTTGGTCGCAAGCAAGAAAATTACGTATGAAAAAAGGAATAAGTAAAATTAAGTAAAGGAAGTTAAAATTAAATTATAATTTACCTATCTGCAGGGCGAGAAGCATATGACCGTTCCAGACTATCCTTTTGTGGCCTAAACTCCCTGTTGAAGCCCAAAATCCGCCCTTAAATCTGGCCAGATAGAGTTCGTGATTTGAATTTCACAATAAAATACCTTTGGGCTCAGTCCGAACCTCGCTGGGCGTCTCTGGAATTGGATAGATGTAGTTGACTCGTCCCATGAAGACTTACTCGTCTCCAAGACACACGCTAAAATAAAATAAAATAATAACGAAAATAATAACTTCTACCACACTAATAAAACACGGTAAAGAATTTAAACTTAATATCGGATGCAGAGAAACGGATCGTTCGGCGGCTTTCTCTAGATTGGGATTGAATATGAAAGGAAACGAAAAGGATTAAAGGAATTAAAAACAAAGGAGTTTAAAGGCGTTTGAAAAAAATGAAGGGCAATTGAACGGTAAATTTTAAGAAATGGCCTAAACACCACCAACGAAACAGACGCACAAACATAGCACCGACACTTAACTGGTATTTAAACACACACACACACACACACACACACACACAAAATTATTTTTAAAAAACTTTTTTTTTTGTAAAATAAAATTACAAATTAATTTATGAAACGAGAACTCATATCATAAATTATTCAGAAATCGTGAGATGCGGTCTGGTGTGATGTAGGTTTCAGAAAAATATTTTCTTTATCGTGCCAACGTTTCGATCTTTATTGAGAACATCTTCAGGGCTTCAAGTGTTTGTCTTCTGTGTAATTGTGCCATTCTTGCGTGTCGTGTTGAGAGTGCCCACACATATCATAAATTAGAACGTGACAACTGTTGCTTAACTACTCAGAATTTTAAAAAATGTAATTCATGGGTCTACTGCGACTTTAAAGAACTGACTGTATGTATGATAGTTATAGTAAGTGGATGAATATGAAACTTGGATGAATAGCCCTAAGTTAAAAAAATGGCAGGTATCAAACTAGATATTGCCGGGATTACCCAACATCCGGAAGCCAAAAATCCAATAAAAATAGGATGAAAAGGAAACAGCAGCATCGGATCGGCAAAGAAGCTACTACGTATGAAGAGAATATCTTAAATATAATGAGCATAATTTTACAGCCTCGTACATCTAAATCAACTATCTTGTTTCAATGTGACGTAACAAGGGCTGTATATATTTTTCAACTGTTGTTTATCCTGTTTACAATTTAACACTGAACTGAAGAATTCTAATCAATATTATATTGAGAAGCTAATAACTGTGTGTAGTTTTATTTATGACAGTCAGAAATCAGCTGGGTCAATCTATGAAAGCAAATTATCATGCAGGACCGGTATTCGGTCACTTATTGGATCTGTCTTCACTCTTGGATTTGCTGATAAATAATATGTATTTATTTGATAATTAATGTATATTTATAGTTAAAATAAATGTCTCTTTTTATTTTATTTTTGTTTGTAAAAATCAATATTGTGTATTACGTATTTGATGATTAGATTACGCTTTCGTGTAGATGACAGATGAAGCTCAACTATCGCTGTCTATAATAAAACTATCTGAAATAGAACGTGAGTTATTTAGGGTTTATCATTTATTTCCTATACGTACTGTATGTGTTTCTCTCTTTTCTTGTTCTTCTCAAAAGATATTTTTCTATTTGGCTTTTGCATTATTTACACAATTCATTTTTCATCTTCGTTTTAACTATTTTTATAAGGGATGGAATGTTATCTAGTCGCTTTGAAAGCAAATCACAAATCGATATGCTTCTTAGGAAAACTGGGTGTGTAATTTAGTTTATAACTTAGAGGATATCTATTTCCATCCGATATTTTATGAGGGAATGGCGAAAAATAGGCTAAGTGGAAAGCATCCAGATTGTGTCATTCACGAACGTTTTTCCATTCATTCGTCAGATCCTGGTACCGGACTTCAACGATTAGGAGAGCATTATTTAGATTAAGGAAAAAGCTCCAGATTCATTAAATCCCAAGCCGAACCGAATGCAATTACCTCCAGACGACCAATTTCCTGTTTTTTCCTTCATTTAAAGATAAACGGCCGGGGAATGAATTTTAGCCGGGAATTAAACCTAACCGGTTATAATTCGAATCACCCGTAATGAACGGGAGCTCTTAGGGGTCACAGGAAATTAATAAACACGGCTAATTCGGTCGATTTGTGAAACTCCTTCGGAAACGAGCCCGGTGCCGGCACGGAAGGCGACTAAGTACGCAAAAAATAATGGAACTTATAGAGAAGGAGGAATGCAACAATTTATTCTAATTAACGATCGCGTGGCGCCTTTTCAAATTAACCCTTACAACGAAAAATGGCCGATAAAAATCAAGAATTCGTGTTGTTGGGTCCAGTTCTCAAGTATACATATTTTTTTAATTCGAAAGTTCACACTTACAGTAACCCATCTTCAAGATTCAATAATAATAACAATAAACATCCATAGAATCCGTAGAAACTTTACTTTAGAAAATAAATCCATCTCTTAATTATTGCACAAAATAACCAGATTGCCAAAGCCAAAATAAGAGCTAAGATTATTTTTTTATTCAGTCAGTGAAGAACATTGATCTGGTTCCAAATTGTAAGCTTTTCTCTTGGGGTCTGTCGGATGATGAACCTGTAGTTTGGTCCTTTTTTTGATCACTTTAATATACCTAGCCTGGGGTCAGGCTTAGCACTTATGATATCGAGGATACAAAACGCGACTGACCGACCATAACTGCGATGGTGCGCCGATCGGAAACTACCAAACTATAGAAGCAAATCAGCTTTGGGATTTTGTAAGTAGTAGTCAAATTATAGATTTGTTACAAAATTCAACCGTGTCAGACTATAGAACAAACTGTACAAAAAGGTTCATAAATAATCAAAATTTTATTTTTTTAACAGTCTGTTTTCTCTAGGCCTTGTAATTATAAATATCTAAGTCGATATATATAGTGTTAATCTGAATAGTGATTTTTTTAATCCAATAGGTTGGCTATTTTTTTTAAATTGTCGAACATAAGTCGAATTAAATGATATTGAAGGCGACAAATGCTAAATCCGCCTTCTTGAAAATTTCTCCAGGATACAAAGTAAGGAGACAAGTTCCTCGATCAACAAACAAGCTTTCACTGAAGAGGGCGTTAGAAGCCTGTGAAGAGGTGACAGGCGAACCAATATGACTGGTGTTGATCATGCCAAATATGGAAATTCGTGAAATCCCATCCACGAAACAATTTCATAAAAAAAGAGATTTTTTGTGTATGAGTTGTGTAAAATTTGAACATTTTCATTGTTAGAATGATAGTTTATGTGTCTCTTGTCATCCAGCCGATCTTCCTGTCTGAATACTCTCAGGCTATATGGATTTTAAGATCGTATAATATATAAGACTTTTTCAATGTTGATTTTTCTTTTAAGAAAATTGGACATCGCTTGGTAGAAGTGGTAGTGTAAAAGAGAAAGATCATTACTGAGGCGTGGAGCTCTAGAAATAAGCTCGATTTCAGCCATTTCGGATTTTTTTTAATTAACTTTATTGCTCTAAAAAAATTAAAATTTTGTTAACGACAATTACTTGTGATAATAAGATGATCTTGCCGATAAAGCAGCCTGATTTAAATTGAACATAAGGTTCAGCCCTGTCCTCATGAAATTAAGTATATTGCATTTAGAATTCCACTTTTATAACATAACAACGTTTAGTATTAAAACAAATGATTTTGAATTAAAACAAAATAAAATAATCAACAATTGGTAACAGCAAAAGAGAAAAAAAAATTAATGTCCTTGTGTGGGTTCGTTCCTTACTTATCAGGGAGCACCGGTTATCAGAGGGCCAACGTGTTTAGCAAATTTATTACTAGGTACCATACCACGTTTGTTGCTGGAATTGGAGGGTTGCGATAAATTTTTCATATGTATGATATGATTTGCGCAGATTTTTGACGACTTATCGCACCATGGGCTTGTACCATTCATAAAACCCTTTGTA